ATTAGCTTAAGCTTTTAGATCAGCTAGCATTAGTCATACTAAATCTCATAGAGAGGAGCTGAGTAGCATCGGGCTAAAGACGTTGGCGGTGCCGATGGGACAACCCATGGCTCATGAGCATGTCGGTCAAGTTTGCATACCTTGACAACCATGGGTAGTTCACACAAAGTGTTTGATTCGTAATGGCACTATGGCATGACATTTTGCATCCTTTGGGTGTTTCATCTGCCGTCCACACTCAAAGGGTCAAATATGACTCTGATTTGGGTATACATGCAAGAGTGTGTTCAGTTGCAAGAGGGGATGAGTGACATCGGCCACTTGCTTGATTTGATGCTCTTGTTAATACTCGAGATTGGCTTATGCGATACTACTATACGTTGCTCTGAAGCTACTGGTTTCGTGGTGTTTACATAAACCTCTTATGGTGATTGCTAGAATCTAGTTAGGATGAGAAAACATAAGGTTTTTTTTTGCTTGTCCAATTTCTAACTCTTCTCATTCTCTAGCTTTTACTCTGTCTTTTGCAGAGTGCGAGAGTTGAACTCCGCACATGTGATACTAGCGTCCCTGCCCCCAATTTCTTAACCAGCAGAGCCGCAGGCCTATTGGCGAGAAAGTAGAAGGTTACTTGGCATAATTTAGTGTGGTTTTATCCAAATGTGCCAAGTTTTGGCTTTATAGCTTTGGCTCTTGAATCAAGATCACCTTTGTTCTTTGAATGCGTAGATAGTCTGGAATCATTTTCTTTGTCTTGTTGGTGTTCATCTTGCTTTTGAAAATTGGAATTCACCTTTTAGCCTAATTGTAATCTGGATAAAATCTCTTCAGCATTTGCACCAGGTCTTGCATATAAATTATATAAGATGAACATATATATCTTCCCTCAGCCTTGGGCTTCTCATATGTCAGCAAAATGGCTTCAGCCAAATCGCACGTGTCCACAAAAGCGTGTACTCCATTATCTGGTGGTTAAGAACTCTCTGTTTTGTCAAGACATAACGATGAGGTGAAGCTCTTGGTTACAGATGAGACTCAAGAATGAGACATTGGGAGAATATTAACTGCTACAATTGGAAAAAAAAAATCACTTCCAGGATATATCAAATGTGTATCCACGAATGCAGAAATTCAAAAATCATCAAACATCAATTACAAACGAAGGATTTGTGTCGAAATTAAAGTCAAATTAGTTTTATTGATAAACTCTATTTGTAAATTGGAGCCCATTACCGATCGTCGCCGTTGCTCGCCATCATGCTAAACCCGCACGCTCGTCAGCCATGGGTAGTCCCATCAGCTTGTCAGGATCGCTTCGAATTTTCAATCTGCCTCCCTAGGACTTGCCTCGCCAACGTCTTCAGCCTGGCACTCCTCAACTCCTCCCAATCCAGCCCCCTTGCGGCCAAGGTCCCTCAGGGCCACCACGTTGGCAATGTTGAGGCCGTAGTCACAGAGAAGCTTCTCGACGTCTTTGTGGATGCCAACCCCGATGAAGACAAGGTGGGGGTCACGGAGGAAGTTGGCTAGTGACTTGGCCGTCGTTAGCCAGTGTGCAAGAGAAAGAGAAAAAAGAGAGAATAGAAGAAAGAAAAAAAAGACAAGGAAAAAAATACCTTTGACAAAAATACTCATGTCATTGTGACTAGTTGGTGAGTTAAGCCCTTATTTGATACTGAATTGCCCACTTCATGCCTTTATTCTAAACAAATTAAGTTCACTCTAGACCCTTTTTGTTTAGAAAATAACTCCACTTTAGGTCTTTATTTGAAAATTTTCTCAAATACTATAATATCTATTTGGGTCAGGAAGCATCCAGAAAGGAAAAAAAAATAGAATTAAATAGAAGGGTTTTGCTTTTTGGGTTCTTCTCTGGCCACAGCCGCATGAACAGAGAATTAAAAGGAAGAGGAGCTTTGAAGTTCTCTTCCTTTGGTCGTGCGGACGTAGTTGGAAACGTGAATTTTGTGTCGGCAGCTTTACATCCAGTTAATATGTTTATTTGTAAATATGGAAAGTTTGGGTTTAATTTAGGTGTGGAAAACATTTAGTGTGTGAGCGATTGAAATTATAATTCTCCGATTATAGTAGATTATTTGATATTGGCTCTCTCCATGAAGTCTATATTGACACTTAAACTGAACTATATAAATTTCTGGTATTTTTTACTATTTCTCGTTTATTTCTATGGTGTTTTGCATTGATTTTATCGTAAGATCTGTTAGCATTTCTGCATTACATTATAACAGGTTTTTTGCTGATGGAGAGTTGAAGCGAAGACCTGCCGCCAAGAGCTGACAACTCCAGTTGATCATGGCGCCAGCGATGATGTGGCGCAGGAGAAGGGGCCAGCGAAAAAGGCAGAAGAGGGGCTCGATCCGCTATCGAGGGGTGAGGAGGAGGCTGTGGAGCAAATATGTGGCGTAGATAGATACGCCAAGAAGAGTAGGGGAGCCCAGATTTGGCTTGGGGTTTTATACGTAAACAGTATAAAACCAAATTCATGAATGAACCAAACTGAGATGTAAGGGAGTGCACCCTTAAAATCGGTACATGTCTTCTTAAACCAACAAGGAAAAAAATTTAGTGATGTGGCACGGCCAGCGCTGACTAGATTACCACATCAACGATTTCATGGTCAAAATTGACCGAAAACACTACATTGAAAAATCATCAAAAGGTTTAAGAATTAATTGGTGAAATTGGAAAGTTTATTACCGAATTGGACGTACTACAATAAATTCAAGATAATTTTCTCGAAAAGTGACTTTGTTTGATCTTTGGGTGTCCCGCCTTTTCTATTTCCTTTTAATTATCTCTTTTATCATTTTGCATGGATCTAGATAAGAAATATGCTGAAAAAAAGAATTGCGTAAATTCTGTACATTTCTGTGTTCGTATTATAATAAAGACTGTATAAGGCTTCACCATATGACTATTTAAGGTAACGAGATCGTTCAATGATGTACACAATCAAAGAGATATAAATGTGCACAATCAAAATGAGATATAAAGAATATCCTAGATATATTCACAATTTTAAGAGATATGGAGAATTAACTGAGATATAAAAATCTCTTAGATTTGTCTCTCACAGATCTATCAATTTAACAGAGAAGCCATAGTGATATTTAGTAACTTATATAGAGCAAGTTAACTAGCAAGTACTCTACTCACAGCATTATATGTAATGGTTACATTATATCAATCTTTGCAATTTGTCATCATAATTTAAGTTAGGCGTTTTATAAATTCATCGACCGTATGGATGCTATCGCTATCAAACCACGTAATAGCAATCTTGGATAATTTGTGAAGCAAAAGGGCTGTATTACTTATCGTAATCGTATTCTCCATTCAATAAGTCAGCAGGGAACTGCTCAAGCTTGGCCCTTAGGTCGTTGACCATCTGTCGCTTGGACTAGGCGAATAAAGGGATTAAACTATTCCACAGAGGATTATTTGGTAATTTGCTATTTTAGCAGTTCGGAGAAATTTCATGGGCGGCTAGATATTATTTTAAACACATGTTCTCCATGATAAATAATTTGACCCACTTCTTACTTTCTGTCTGGCTGCTACGAAAGACTCTATTCTTGGAATTCCACTATTCTCTGTCTGGATCAATTTTACATATATTTTACAAATTTAGAAACCAACAGCTCTGTCAAATTCTTGATATTTTCAGCATTTTCTTTTTCTATCTATCACATTTAACCAATAAAATACATGAAAGTCTTCTTTGACCAGTTCTTTATAAAGAAAGTACGTGCGTTGAACCAATACCTGAGTTTATATCGACTTTTCTTTTTACGGTAACAATGCTTGACTAAGACCAAGTTTGTTTGAATTGATAAAGATGTCATTTGATGTCTTGAAGCAATTACAAATTTACAAGCGGAGATGTGCTCCAAAAGAATTTTTGTGGAATCAGAGAGATATTTAGGTGCTCTCGAAACATGAAATCATTGCCCACACGAGCGAATCACCATGCGCCAAAAGGATGTACCAAATCCAACTGTAGGTCTTTTACTCTGATATAGAATTCAAGTTGAGTCTCCAAGGAATTGTGTTAAAAAAATGTTAGATTGTTTGAGAGCAACTAATTTGTATTTTGAATCTTGACTGTCTGGACTTTACCTATAGCTGATAGACCATGCAAGGTTCCTGAGTAATCCACCGTCATTTATGATGGCCGTGGATTCCACACCCTACACGGTGTTTCTTTTGGTATCTTGATAAAACTCGACTGTTGATGGAGATCTCATTTCCATAGATCAATGCATGATTGAGATTTATCGAGGCATCGAGACAAATAGAATGAACCCAGGAGGAGAAGGGACGACATTGGAGTTCACTCTGACGTGCGTGGTTGCCGCTGTTTGCACAATAATTGTCACGATCGAGCAGTTCCTTCACTAGACTGTTTGCAGAAGCTTTTGTCCTAATTTTTTAGGTCATTGGCTTTATTTGCTTCAGACCTTTCGCGTTTCGGTCAAAGTTCGCTTTTCGAGCGCATGAAGAAATTATTTGTTTGTAAATAGAATGTTCATCATATAGACTCGTATGTGAATTCTTATGCCTATTATGTTTACATCACGCACAGAAAGCACAGCAGAAACATGGAACCGGCCATTAAAGTTGAGAAATTCCAAGTTCTGCAGCAAAATGCTTCTGAAAATTGCCGTATATGAAAAAGGGTTTATGAATGTGGTTAGGGCTTGAGAATGACCTCAAGAGGCTTCAGTATTATTCCCTTCAGAAAAATAACTGCTTTTATATCTCTTATAAATCTTTGTTGTTCCTTAAGTTAGGATCAAGACCATATTGGCTGTGAAAACTTGAGCTTTTCTTTAAATTTCTATGACTACACTTCAGGACTAGGATTTCTTCAGCAGTAACATTGATTGCATGTCACAATGCAGGCGAGATTTCTCCGCGGTGAAAGATCATTGAAGCTTAAACACTAAACTGATAGTTCCAGAAGATAAATTGCCTGATTGACCTTTTATTGAACGAGACAATAACTTTGCAGTTTGCACAATCAAAATAAAAACTGTTCATCCCCACTCAACAAACCGATATCGAATATGGGAAAGGGGATTGGACTTCCAAAATCCACCTCAGCATCCATGTTGACCTCTCTCTTTCTTCTCTTCATTCCCATCATCAAGTCGTCATCGTTGGAGGTGGACAGTGAGCTAGGCTTGGCGGACCGACGCTTGGGTCTGACCCGGACAGGATCGTGCTCGGCCAAGCCAATGAGGTGAGGGAAGTTGAGCTTGGCCTTGGACCCCCTAATCTTAAAAGCAGCCCGGTCGTAGGCCAAGGCCGCGTCCTTGGGCCTCTCGTATGTCCCGAGCCAAATCCTAGCCCCGCTTTTCTTGGGGTCCCTTATTTCTGCTGAGTATTTTCCCCACGGTCGCCTCCTCACCCCTCTATAATGCGTCTTCTCAACCGGCACTTGTACCTCAGGCTCCACAGTCTCCAGTTTCTCCTCCGTCGCCCAACCAATGCTGTTGTAATCAATGGTCGTAACTTCAAAATCAAGTTCTTGATTCGAACCCGAAGGCATCGTCCACCTGGAATCGAGCGCGTCATGCAAAGCGTCGTACACCAACATGTTGTTTGAGTTGTCGACTTCCCGGGGCAGTTCGCTCCAACTCTCCGTCAGTAAAAGATTGCTGAAGCTTGAACTCCTCGAGTACATGTCTGCAGGAGTTGGTGCATAAAATGTTGCGTTGAGACCACTATCATCATCTTCAAGGCGATGCTCACAAATGGGTTTCAAAACATCGCATTGATCGGTCTCACAGGGACTGAAAATTTCTTGAAGCATTTTCGTTTTCTGCTAGGATTTGTAGCTTCGTGATCACTGAATATGAAAGATCGATGGGATGATTTGGTTTCTGAAGGAGAGTGGAGAGTTGAAAAGACCGTCAGAGTGGGAGCCATATATATAGGTAAGCTTGACTGCTTGAATGGTGGAAGATTGAAGGGATGATTTTGGTTGGAGCTTCTGAGAAAGTGCATCTGGTGGAGGCTAACGAGATTCTCAGCACATGTTTCAAAAGCTCAATTAGACTTTTTGAATCACGAAAGACATAAAATGATACATTTTTATTTAACCAAAAAAAAAATGATACATTTTCTATTTTCAGTTTTGAGCTAAAATACCAATGCATGGTGCACGCTTCGTTTTATTTTATTGGGGAACAACAACGATTTTCCTCCAAAGTACGAGGTTAAACTGTTTTGTCTAAGGCCTTGTGTAGACCTCGGCATCTCTCAGACGTTAAACACGTAGAGAGTATTCCCTCCTTCTGGGATAAAAAAAACAGAGGGAATTAGGCGGGCTGGGCATGCAGGCACGTACACTTTAAAATAAGGAACGCAGTTCTGTTAGCTCATTAGGTATATATTCTTGGACAAGCGGGGCAACCCTAGTCGGTGTTTCGGCACCTACTCTGTGGTGAGGATACCCTTAACCACCGAGAATCCACAGAGTACCCTTGATTTTTTGTTGATAAATTTTTTTATTATCCGTTTTGAATTAAAATACTAAAGCATAGGGCATGCTCCGTTTTATTTTATTGGGGAAGGACAACGATGATTGTAATCGAGAAGCCAAAATCAACCGAAGTGTGAATATTAGCAATGCACTATGTGAATATCAGTAACGTACTATGTGGCGAGAATGTAAGCAGAGTATTACGTAAATATTAGCAACGTACTACATGAATATTGGCAAAACACTTGTACTATATGCGACAATAATCTTGTCACAATCTTCATGATTATTGTCTTGAGATATTTTATCTCATCACTTGACACCTTGTGATCTATTATGGATTTCTATCATTAAAGATATTGATTGAATATCGATCTCTAAAGATTGCATGCGACATATTCAAGACACAAGATATCTTGATTGATTGACAATCATCTCGCAGGCAAGAGACTTTCCTTAGTTGAAGCACTCCACTTTCGAAAACCAAGATTTGATTGCATAAGGGTGCGCATGGAATGCATTCCGGAATAAAAATTCTGTTCCGGAATGCATTTCGGAACAGAATAGCGTTTGTTAAAAAATTTCTGGAATGCATTCTGGAGCGATTTTTGCATTCTGGAATAAAAATGCGTTTGTTAAAAATACTTGATTCCAGAATGCATTTTTTATTCCGAAATGAGTTTTTGGCAAGAAAAAGAGAAGCTACTTTTTGTAGCTTCTTGATTCCGGAATGCATTCTCCCTATTTTCTCATAATTTTTTTTTTCAGAAAATGCATAAAAATTGAAAAATTCTAGAAAAATTCATAAAAATTTCCAGAAAATAAAAAAAAGTCAGATTTCGGGAAAATATGAAATTTGGTGAATTTTTTTTTAAAAAATAAAAATAAAATCAAAAATTTCAAAACTTCACAGAATAGCTTAAAACACATGTGGCCACCCACTTTTAGTGAAATTTAAATTTTTTGAGGTGCCCAAAAAAAATCAAAATTTTCAAAACTTTACAAAATGGCTTAAAATACCTGTGGCCACCTACTTTGAGTGAAATTTAAACTTTTTGAGGTGCAAAAAAAAATAAAAAAATAAAAAAAATTTCAAAACTTCACAAAATGACTTAAAATACCTGTGGCCACCCACTTTGAGTGAAATTTAAATTTTTTGAGGTGCCCAAAAAAATAAAAAAAAATAAAAAATTTCAAAACTTCACAGAATGGCTTAGAATATCTGTAGCCACCCACTTTGAGTGAAATTTAAATTTTTTGAGGTGCCCAAAAAAATAAAAAAAAATAAAAAATTTCAAAACTTCACAGAATGGCTTAGAATATCTGTAGCCACCAACTTTGAGTAAAATTTAAATTTTTTGAGGTGCCCAAAAAAATAAAAAAAAATATAAAAATTCAAAACTTCACAAAATGGCTTAGAATACTTGTGGCCATCCACTTTGAGTGAAATTTAAATTTTTTTAGGTGCCCAAAAAAAATTTAAAAAAATAAAAAATTTCAAAACTTTACAGAATGGCTTATAATATATGTGGCCACCCACTTTGAGTAAAATTTAAATTTTTTTAGGTGCAAAAAAAATCAACAAATCAAAACAGATTTCTGTTCCAGAAATCAATTTCTGGAGCAGAATTAGTCATGTTTTACCAAACAAATTTCTCCTCCAGAAATCAATTTCTGGCAAGAATTTGATTTCTGGAGCAGAATGGTTACCATTCGCACCCTAAACAACCAAACCTAGGTGAATTATGATTAATTGACCTCAACGGCTATCCTAATCTTCTTAACAATTGTTCGACAGCTAGATGGGAGATTTATCCTCTTGAAGAATGTCCAATGGGTAGATTGGATTCTGAGGAATGTAAATGAAGACTAAGGCGTTGAACAGATAAAGAAATTGATCAAGAGTTCACAATTCCAATTTCAAAGAGAGCTTTATATACTTTACAATTGTCCTCTGTGAGCTTAAATATTGTCATCTTTGAGAAGTATTGGCAATGTGAAAGTTTGTGCTTATACGTGAGATAATGAGCCATATCTACTTAAGTATTAGCAACACCAACTTCGAGAAGAAGTGCTTGAGTATATGCAGCACTTACTATTGTAACTTCTCAACGATTGACTAGTGGAATCCAATCCCATCAGTAGGTTGTTAGCGCGGAAGAGTGGATGTAAGCTTACAATAAGTAAAACCACTACCATCTTTGATTGCATTGTTCTCTCTATTTTTGCTCATATTCACTTACTACGTGATAGAAACACTGCACCACATTGCTTGATTAACCAGATTGTGATTAAATCATCAATTTGTTTTAACATGGTCAAAATAATATCACACTTGACACCTTTATTTCCGCATTAGTTGGTCAAGTTCTATGATAACACCTATTCGCCCCCTGGAGGTGTTACTGTTAACCAACAACAACTGGGGTCAAAGCTTAGTGCTCATTATTTTGAAGTGTTTATTTCTAAGCTAACGATCTATTATTGCTAGCACTCTTGGATGATGTATTGTCAAAGGATATAGCAATACCAGACCTCCCTACTTCGATGGGAAAGATTATGATACTTGGAAGAACAAAATGAAAGCTTTAATCAGATCCATGGATCCTTTGATATGGGACGTGGTGCAAAATGGAGTGAATGTCACACCCACAACAACACACACACCTGCATCCTCAGGACAATAGAAACAAATGAAAACTCAAATCAAATAGCCACAATCTTTCCACAAGATTTGGCTAAAGGAGAAGCCGTAGATGCTAATTGTGTTTCTTCAAGTGAAACGGCAAAAGAGATATGGGACAAGCTTCAAGTAAACTTTGAAGGAATAGGTAGGAGACCAATTAAACTTGGAGCCTCCCCCTTAAACCCCTCAAGCACCGAGCCTCCCCCTTAAACCCCTTTAGCACCGGTCCATTTAATATCAGTCCAATTAAAATGCAATTTTTGTGGGCTAATTACTATGAAAATACTCCTAATATTCAAATCTAACAATATTTTTGCTTAGGGATCAATGTTGACTCCCAATTTTCTTATACAATGAATAAGTCGTCAAAACTTATGTGCCAACATGGTGATATGATATCTTTCTAAGAAGAACTTCACTTTAGTTTGTTTAAAGCAAAAAACTGAATGTCGCAAAATAATTTTTTCCAAAATCATCCTTTGGAATCACTTGAAAAAGAGTGAAAAAAAAATCTTATCTATCAATAACTTTTGAAGAATGATTAATGCTTTTTAACAATCAAAATCCAATTTTCAAATTCAAACTTGACCTCTTCATCGCTGCCATGAGTATCCCCATCATTCAAACCTGTGACCTAAGATCCTAGCACCCAAACCAGTGACCTCGACCTCGACATCCATGTCTCGAACCTTAAGGATGGACCTAGCATCCTAGTGGTCAGATCCAAGACTCTAGGACAAAAACCAGGACCTCGAGAGTTTGAATCGCAGCCCACAAGCTAAGTCGTGAACCTTGGTGCCCACACACAAGAACTCAGCACTTGGACAAGGGAACTGAGTACAGACCTAGGATCACGACCCCTGTACTTGGGACCTAGGTACCATGACTTGAGACCTAGGGCCAGGACATGGACCTCCGCAGTTGAACCCGAAATCTTAAGTGGGGGAGCTGTGACCCTGTGGCTAGGTTCAGGACTTTGACACCCGACTTGACATCGTGTGGGAGTAAAATCCTAACCCCAAGAAACATGGATCTCGGAAAGGGTCCGTGTCCTACGTCAAGTCTCTGGGTTCTTGGGTCTGGAAAAGTAAGCAATGTACAATAAGTTCTTCGTCCAAGTGGAAAATTGACTTGCTAATTGCCATATTGACTAGGAATAATGACACAAACAGTCCATAAACTTTGGCCCAATGTGCAATTTGGTCTATGAACTTTTAATTTGCTCAATGCGGTCCCTAAATCTTTGGTATATGTTCAATTTAATTATTGAACTATATGAAAATGTTCAATGTAATCCCTGAACTTGAATTAATGGAAGGACTACATTAAACATTTTCATATAGTTCAATAATTAAATTGAACATATACCAAAGATTTAGGGACCGCATTGAGCAAATTAAAAGTTTAGAGACCACATTGAAGATTAGGATAAAGTTCATGGACTATATTGAGCAAATTAAAAGTTTAGGGACCAAATTGCACATTGGGCTAAAGTTCATGGACTAATTATATCATTCTCGCTATTGACTATGACTTCCAATACAGCAAAATAGGTTGAAACATAGTAATACTACTTTTGACAAAAAAAAAAAGAACATACACGTAATTAGAAATTTCTCTATGTAGTTAGTAACTAATAAACTTATTCATATATATTGTAAAATTTCGTATAAAAAAGGTTACTGTTGGTTGATATATGCGA